CCCTAAAGCTACTACCGAGTGCACTAAGGTAGCCTACGGATTCCGAAAGACTGCCTATGGCTTGCCCTTCGAGCAGTAAAGCCGCGCTAGACTTATACAACCGCACATTTTTGTGAAAAGGTTAAACAAGCTAGCGCGCATATACGAAGTTTTATCCACTGCATACATGCTACGTAGTCGATAAGCTTCACCTCTGCCAAGCGCGGAACAACCTACACCAAGTCCTAAAGTGTTGTGATACTTGCTACGCAACCTACATAATTGAAGAAAGTCAAGGTTAACAGCCTAGTGGTTACGCGGACTTGTCTACTTCTGTAAGTAAGGCATCCGGCTGCCAACCCTATGGCTAACAACTTTGCAAAGTTCTACACCAACACCTACGGCTGTATAGGCTACGCGAGCTTGTCTGCTTATAAAAAGTAGCATGCCTGCCACTGGTCTATCAAGTCTAAAGGTTAGGGCATGAGCAAAATAAGCAAAGATGAAGAAAAACGAAGGAAAACATATTTATAAACAAATAGCAAAGGCCGAAGGAGTTCAAGCAAAACAAGAGCTACAAGGAAACAAAGAAAATCCTAAAGGTTACCTAGAATACTACACTACAGCAGCTTGGACATCCCACGACTACTCAGTCGCCACACCTTCAACAGCCGTAACGCTCTTAGCAGCGGCATCATCCGACGCTTCACCCCCTGCTGCCCCAGCCTGGGCACTAACTTCTCCAACTACTTCACCAATGGAAGCCTTAAAAGTAAAAGCAAACAAGTTTTTCAGAGAAATAGAGAAGCTCATCTACTCCCTTCTCAGCATAAGCAGCATTCAACTTTTCATCCTTTGCATAAGCAGCAAAACGAAGCTCAGAAACTGCAAACTCAAGATCTTAAATCTGAGGTATTGTAACATTCAATCTCCTTCTCTGTACTTTCATACTTAACTTGGATCGCATCAAGCCTAGTCTTCAAGTCAACAATCTCGTGGCGAGCGGTCTCAAGCTGCAGAGAAGCAGGGGCATAAATATTAGACCACTTCAAAGCAACAAGCTTAGAATCCAACCTCTTAATCTCCTCGACTGAGGAATAAGCTTCAGCTACCATAATCTTCGCCACCTCTTTGACGGCCTTGCTATATATGCATCATAGCAAGCAAAGCAGTTCTATATTGGGTCGTATGTTTCGTAAAGGAACTTGGGCAAACAACCTTTTTACCGCTATCAACAAACTTGGCACAAACGTTCATGACTTCAAGCAGATCTAGTTTTAAAAGCACATAGATCGCAACAGCATCCCTAGAAGCAGGCTTAGTGGATTTCTCATAACTGCCCACGCGAGCAATATCTTATTTCCTAGCAGGCGAATCAATCTCAGCAGCAAAGAGATTAGGCTTTGGCGCCACTTTAGCAGCAGAGTCCACTTTACCACTCTTCATAATAGCAAGTTTTTACAAAGGTGAACCAGACATGGCTCCCAACGAAAGTCCTGGTACAAACTTCGGCACTCGGGGCATGATAAAACCTTTACGCTAAATAATTTTATCAACAATTGTACTAGCCATTCTCAACATGGAAGACACCACATGCTCAGATCTAGCAACCTTATTTTTCTTCCCATTGGAAGAAGTCATGTCAATCACATACCTCTCGGTAGCAGGCGGACCCTCATGAGCAGCGGAAGAAGTCTTCAGTTTTTTCTTAACTGGCATCTCATGAGCAGGCGGGAAAGATCTCTTCTTTCCATCTTCATTCATAGTAAGCTTCATGACAGCGATCAGACGAGCCAATGCATCTGCCTTGATCCTCTTTACCTCCTCTTTCGGGAACAGCCAACGACATTCATGGTACTCAGCAGGGGAGCTCAACCCAGCATTCCAGCAGGCAGGATGCCTGCATGCCCAACATTTCAGCAGCCCATGAGACCCACAATCTCTTCATTTCTCTCAATCGCCAGCCTGGCCCGAGTCAGGTCCAAAAGCCCAAATGACATGAGTTATGCGGCTCGCCTAGCACTGCGCCAGCGCCACAATCTGCGACCCCAGCCGCACAAACTACCCTTAGCTCAAGCCAAGCCAAGTTGTCCAAGCAGTGGTCCCTGCCACGACATCTCCTCGGCCTATGCCGAGCCAACTCCTGGCCCTTGCCAGCCGACGTGCCGCACCACCCCGACGGTTGCCCCGCAATAGCACTATCCGAGAAGAAGGCAAGAAAAATTAAATTTTTCTTACATCGGTGCGGCACGGAGAAGACGAAGAAATCAACGAAAGACGGTCCTTTGCACGGGCAAGATGTAGAAGATTGCTAGAGGAGGGGGAACAAATATCTTCTAACTTTCTCTCTCTTGTGGGGTAGACTAAATTGCTCTCCAAAGTTGATTTAATAACCCACTTAAGGTGGACTTAAATAGGCTTTGAGAGAAGTTTATTTTCCCTTCCTAGAAGGATCTAATTTCCAATTAAAGAGAGAATCTACATCAAAATAGGAAGCAGTCCTAAGTTTCCTAAAGCAAGAAGATCTCTACACCTGCTGCCCTTTTCTGCGAGCAGCCCAACAGGTGTGGGGGCATTTGTGGAGCCAAAAATATTCACAAGGCGACACGTGGATTTTTAGACAAAAAGGACAAAAATACCCTTGCAGTACAACGAGGTTCCTACGCACAAGCAGCGGGCAACCCTCTTTCAACCAAGACAGAAGTGCCCAAAATAGGTAACAATTCAAAGTCCATCTCATCAAATCCTTTCTATAAGGTAATTCCCAAACACATTCCTTTTAAAATTATGTTAATTGGCTAATTAATGGGTTTATTGCCTAATTAACCCATTAATTGTCAATTAAACCATCCATTATATCCAAATGACCACAAAATACATCCAATTCAACCCTAAAACACTACATGGCCGGCCATCCCTTTAGCTTTCTACCTTCCCTATTTTTCCCACTTTATTACCCAAATAAAGCTAATCATTCAATTTGATAACCCCCCATTTATTTCTATCATATTTTATTAGCCAATAAAGTGGCTAATTAAACCACAAATTCACCAAAAAATGGACAAAGTGGCCGGCCACTTCCTTTGAAAAGTGGACCAACCTAGTCCTATAAATAGGGACCCATTTTCATCAAACACTCATTCCAAACCTCTTGCAAAAAATCTCAAATACTCTAAACACTATTTCTCTCTAAAATTCTAACTTTGGCATCGGAGGTTCTTCGGCCAAAGCCCCCCCATTCATCGTGGGCGCGTGAGGCTTTTGGCCTTAACCTAAGGTGCTAGTTGTTTTGTAGGTGCAAAATCGTCCAAGATCGAGGAGGAGAAAATTTGCATCCACAAGTGACACGTCAGCATTTACCAGAAAAACTGACGGCGGTCTAACATTGGCACAAGGTGGTCTAACATTGGCACAAGGCGGTAAAATGAGGTATAACATTGTCATTTTAAAAAGATGAGGTATGAATGTATCGTCAGACCAATAATTAAGACAATTTTTTGTCATTTACCCCTTAGTTTATGTACGTGTTGCTGCTTCACCACCCAACATTCCGTGTCATAAAGCATTGATGGCCTTATTGTTGTCCTATAAAATTTTCGCTTAAACTTGAGTGGCATACGATGGTCGCACAACACACCCAATACACTCTTCTACTTCATCCATCTAGCTTGTATTCTATGGTTAAAATCTCCAACCAACTCTGTTCTTTTGCAAGATAAAACCTAGGTAACGAAAACGATCGCTCTTTAGTACTCCTTGATCTTCAATCTTCACCTCTAACTCATGAACCTGAACTTGCACCCCTAACTCATTTGGTTGAAAACTCAAACCATATAAATTCAACCGTTAAAACGCCCGAGTATCCTATGCCGTATGAGCTTTTGGGGGAAGAAAGTGCAGTAATAGAAGCTGCTCTCAGAAAAGAAAATGGTGTACTTTAAACCTGAATGGGGAAAGAAAAAGGTTTATGGAACTATTTAATAATCAGCACCCCCACAAATCGGGCATCCCCAATTCCTCATGCACAAACTTTCTATTGTTCCCACAGCAAGTAAAAAAGGCGGCAAATTTCCAGACCGAGTTTCGGAAGATCTTCGTTTCAACTAAGTACTTCTGCAAAGATTTTGATCTGCAGAAGTTCAGTTGTCAATTTAACAACTAATTCAAAACCACAAGCGTTCCTCTCAGAGAGAGAAAAAAATAAATAAATAAATAAAGCTAATAGCGAAATGATACAAACATAACAAAACGATTACTCGATTCAGAAAGATCACAGGACGCATGCTACATCACAGCATTAGTGTTTCAACATTCAGGAAGATCATTCTCAATGCATACAATCAGACGGATCTGCACGTCTTCACACTTGAAAACCGGTACTTGAACATGAACTTTGAATTCAATATTAACAAACATGACAAAAACCACCTACCCCATGTTTTAGGAGACCAACTGCTTGGATCTTGCTTGCTCGTCCCAGCTTCACCTGATATTATTTACTTTCTAGACTTTACAGGCAACCTGCACGTTAAATTCACAGTTTCGTTACTGAAGAAGAACAGAAACAGTAGGAAGAACAAACCAAGTATCACGAAAACCATCTTCTTGATCAATGATCCCAAGTTCCCAACACTGAATATAACATTGAATTAATTTACAGTTGCCACACACACACCAAGCATCGGAAAACTGATTCAGTTTCCAGTTTAGCGTGCTGCTCCCCAGTTGGGAGCGGTATTGGCCATTACATTTGATCCAACGGTTGGAACGTGCCTTCAAATGCAGCAGAGATGTATGTCGCACTGTGAAGGCAGAGCAGTCGAACCCCTGCTGCTCAGGTCGAAACACGACTAGCAAAGTAGTCGAAAGATGATTTACCAATACCAGAAAAAATGTTATGCATAAGTAGAAAATTCATAACCCGAACAATCACGAAACCTAGCAATGTAATGTAGGAAGAAGACTAACAAAATGTCGTATAATTGGATATGAAGCACGAGGATCGATTAGTCGGAGATAGAAAGACGATTGGAATAAATATTTTCATCATAAAATTGAAATTCTGGAAAGCCCTTTCCAGTTACAACAGCAAAACCTCCAGCTAAAACCCTAATTCTTCTTCTTCTTATTCTTCTTCTTCTTCTTCTCCTTCATTCTCTCTCCTCCCCCAGCAAAACCCTCCCAAATCCTACAAACAATTTGAACCCCTAAGAAAAACCCTAATTTAAATTGCATTGATACATTGCTTAAAATTCACAAATTTGCACAAACCCTTATTCTTCCTCTTCGTCTTCTTCGTCTTCTTCTTGTTCCAGCCACCCAAAGCTAGTTTAATTCTAACCTTATGAATCCTACTACAAAGAAATTTCTTCAAATAAAGGAAGTCCAACTCTCTCACCTCTCCCCTAAAGGCTAAAACCACACAACCAACAACAACAAAAATAGCAAAACAGAGACATACACATATTTATATATACCAACAAAACACACCACCAGCCACCGCCAACGGACGGAACTCCAACCCAATCGGGTTTTTCAACGCTGGTCGTCTTCTCTCCGACCCGAATTTCCGTGCCCGCCCGACAAAGAAGCCAACAAATTGAGATGTCCAGGAAGGTAATTTCCCACTCTGGCAGCCGAGGCCTCGCCCATCGGCTGCTGCTGCAAGAACAACGAATGCTGCTGATGGTGCTGTTGCTGCTGCTGGTGGGACAGCGCTGACTGGGCCATCAGCTCCGGGGGCGGTGTGGCGGCGAAGCTCCACACCTGCCCGAAGTGCGGGGCCCAGAACCCGCCGGGTCCCCCTGCGTTGGGGCCTAGCATGGAGGCCATGGAGTGCCCGACGACTGAGACGGCTCCGTCGTTGTTGGCGTGGTTGTCGGAGGGGTCCTTGGCGGCGGAGGCGTCGTGGTTGTGGTTGTGGTTGTGGCTGTGGTTGTTTTCGGGGTCGTCGAGGGAACCGCGGACGCGCTTGCCGAGGATGAAGGGGGTGGGGCCCAGTAGCTGCGGTTTGTGATCGGAGGAGGTGGTGGAGGGGGCGGAAGAGGAGGTGTTGCCACCGCGGAGGGAGACGGAGACGGTGGAGAAGGAGGCTGGGGTGGTGCCCGTGCCGGTGGCGGCGATGATGGAGGGCTCGGCCTGGCGGAGGAGCCACTCGATGGTCTGGCCGTCGGACTTGTGGCCGAGCTCACGTGTGAGCTGGAAGACACGTGCGGCGCAGATGATGGGCATGCGGATGCGGCGGCCCCGTCCGTCGACCTTGCTGTGTCGGTCCTTAGAGGGTGGCTTCTTGACGGCTAAGACGCCGTTACTTGACGGCCTCTGCGAGGTCTGCTCCACCATAGCTCCTGCGCCGCCGCCGCCGTTAGTGAGCTCGTTATTAGGCGCCTCGGAATTTGACATGTGAAGAAATTGAAAGTGAGCTGCTCCTGCTCAGCTGGGTGTAAAGCTGGGTTTACACACCCACACACACAGTGCGTGTACGAGCTGTTCAATTTCTACAGGGAGATAAGAGAGGGTTGAGTGGTGGTGGTTTTCGGGGGGTTTTGGGGGGGGGGGGGGGGGGCGGTTCAGGTGGAGAGGGAGAGTGAGGAGAGGAGGGAGGTGGGCTGGGCTGAAGGAAACACAGCTCTCTCAAATGATTGAGCTTCCAGACAGGAGCTGGTGGAGACAGAGGAGGGCACATGGGGTGGTGGCCCCCACTTTTATACAAACACTCTTCCCCTTCACACCTCTTCCTTCACTGTGTGAAACACGCGCATTCCCAATCCCATAATTAATTAAAATGAAATTCTCTTTATTGTCTTTTTTTTTTTAACTAAATTTATAAAATTACATGTGGCAGTTTGTTGCATTGGCAAAAAATAATTATGCCCATACCCTTTGATACATGTTCAATATTCATGGATTTCCTTCCCATGTAACGATTAATTCACTGATGTTATTGCTCTACTAAAAACAATTATATAAATCAAAAGAAAAAAAATTTCACACATCATTTTTAGCATTTTACATTGTAAGTTTAATTTTGGCCATTATTTTTATTTAATTTATTCAATCTCATGTCTACAAAGAAAGAGGTGAGTGTATAACGTCAAGTATTATGCGTAAAATTCACTTCCTTTAGAGCAAGTCCACCGGAGTGGACTTTGCCCAGCACTTAGTCCAAATAGCAGCCCAGCACCCTGTCCATGTCCTCCAGCCCGCGCAACAACCTGGCACCCAGCCCATGCTGGTCTCTGGGCCAGCACAAAACAGGCTGACCAAGAAGCTGGGCCATTTGCTGGCGCATGGCCATGTGGCCGATCCTGGGCTCTAGGATTTGAATATTTTTCAAATCCAACGGTCCAGATTAATTAACTACATTCAAATTAATTAAAAATAAATAAAAAAATACATAATTTTTTTTTTAAAATACAGTAAAATTTTAAAAAAGTTTTTTTTTTTCTATAAATACCTAACCCTCATCTTCCACCTTACACATTAAAGTTATTTTTTAGTGTGTATTTTTCTATAAGTTTATTTGATGAGTATGTAATTTTATTTTATTGTGTATTTTTTTTTTAAGTTTATTTGAAATTTTATCCGAAATTGATTAAAAATCTTATCCGAAATAAACTTAAAAAAAAAACACACCAAATCAATGCGCTGGGCGCCAGTGCATTTTTTTAAGGGTGGAGATGCCTTGGCCCATTACTATTCACTTCAGTCTATTACTGTTCACTTGAGTGGATAAATGTACTGGGTGCTGGCGCAAAGTCCTTAGGGGTGGACTTGCTCTTATGTAAGAGCAACTTCACCCTAGCCCTTTAGGCTAGCACCCAACCCAAGCCAGGCCACAGGCCAGCCCAAAATCGACAGAGGGAAGAGACAGCCTATCTGACGTCAGATAGCCTTTTATATTTCCTTTGCGCTTGGCGCGTGGGAATGACGCCCTACTGGGCGCGGGTCTCCGACAACAAAACAGAGGTGGGCCCGCTTGTGTAGGCGCATTAAACCTTTCTGATGGGAGGCCACGTGGCCAGTCCTTGGCCGTTGGATTTCCAACTGCTAAATTTCTGGACCGTTGGATTTCCAACGGTCAAAAAAATTTCAATTTGAAATTGATATGGACCGTCCGATCTAGATATCAACGGTCCACATTTTTCCACTAGAAATTGAAAAAAAAAAAAAAGCACAACGGTTAGAATTATGATCGTTGGCCACGTGTCAAGGTATAAGCTGTTGGATTTGAATCTTTTCAAATCTAACGGTCCAAATTAATTACCTAAATTAAAATTGATAAAAAAATTAATTAAAAATTGTTAAAAAAATACATAAATTTTTTTTAAAAAAATCCTATAAATACCTAACCCCTCATATTCCACCTTACACTACATTTCAATATTATCAACAATTTTTACCAAAGCTTTCATATAATTTTTTAGAGAAAAAAATGACTGCGTGGAAGCTCATCAAAGATCTTACTTTGTGTGAATGCTGGGTTCACACTACTCATGACCCAATTACAAGTAATGAGATGGATAAGCGAGAAATGTGGAGTAAAATTACGAAAGCGTTTTGCGATGTACTTGGAAAAGACGCTAGAAGTAGTCAAGGTCTTCAAGCTTGTTGGAAAAAAAAAAAACTCAACGCATCCTTTACTTGTTGAAAAAAAGTCATCTCTCATGCTTCTAGTAATCTGCGTAATGGGACAAGTTTAGCGGATCAGGTGACAATATTTTTATTTATTTATATGCATTTCACCCGCATCAATATTTTAAGTTACTTATTTGTGTTACACGCGCATTTTATAATATTGTCTTATCCCACATTCTAAAAGCACAAGCATTTTACAATGCAAAGAACCAGAACAAATCATTCAGCAGATGAGAATGTTGGCAAATTGTCAAAGATTGCCCCAAATACAAAATTGTGGCAACCGATCCAGAAGTTGTCATGCACGGCATGGGTCTACACAGTTCACCAGAGGCAGACACAACCGAACAAGAAGGCGACACATTTGAAGAGATGGAATGGACGCCTGAAGAAGTGCCAGAGACCCAACCGACTCGTCAGTCCCTCAGGCCTCAAGGTAAAAAGGCATCAAAGAAAAGAGGTAGTTCTTCCAAAAATGACTACTTTAAATATATGGACGAACTTGCTCGCCAAAGTGAACTGAACATGGCGCGGGAAGCGGCTAGAGATGAGGAAAAAGCTGCTGCTATGGTAGCAATATTAGCAGCTATTGAGAGACGTGATGCAGCGTCTAAGAGACAAAGAGAAATAGTTAATCGAGAGAACGAGATGATTAAGAAGCACTTAATCGAGAAAATGAGATGCTTAGAAAATAAATGATGGCTCAAGCAGATTGTGATACTATGAACAAGCCTCTAGTAGGACTATCTCCAAATTCAAAATATTTTTGGACTTCGGAAAAAAGAGATGTGGTGCGAAAGAGGCGTGCAAGAGATGCGGAAACAAATCGAGGGGGTTCTAGTATTAGCAGCTATTGAGAGACGTGATGCAGCGTCTAAGAGACAAAGAGAAATAGTTAATCGAGAGAACGAGATGATTAAAGAAGCACTTAATCGAGAAAATTAGATGCTTAGAAAATAAATGATGGCTCAAGCAGATTGTGATACTATGAACAAGCCTCTAGTAGGACTATCTCCAAATTCAAAATATTTTTGGACTTCGGAAAAAAGAGATGTGGTGCGAAAGAGGCGTGCAAGAGATGCGGAAACAAATCGAAGGGGTTCTAGCTACACAGATCCTAGCAACGAAGATCCTAGCACCACATATCCTAGCTCAACAGACTTTGTATAATTTCCTATTTATTTTTAGCACTTTATGTAATTTTGTCTTTATTTTTAGTACTTTATGTAATTTATTATTTATTTTTATTAATAGATGTAATTTCTTATTTATTATTAGTACTTTGTGTAATTTCTTATTTATTTTTAAAACTTTATGTAATTTCAAATTTATTTTTGGAACTTTATTTAAACATATCAAATAAGATAGTGACACGAGGCGTGTTAGAATTGGTTGAAAATCTTAGCGGAAATCTATTCACAAAATAGTACGTTCGAATAATGACACGTGACGTGACAAGATTGGTTAAAAATCCTATCCAAAATTAAAACTATTTTTTATTTATTATTTAAAAAAATTAATAATATTTTAAATGGGCTAGGTGTGAGCGCATTTTGTAGGGATAGAGATCGTTTGTGCTAGCGCATTTTTTAGACTTTGTGTCAGTGCATTTTTTAGGGGTGGAGATGCATTTGGCTTATTACTATTCATTGAAATCTATCACTGTTCACTGAGTGGATTAAATAGGTTGGGTACTGACACATTTTTTAGGGATGGAGTTGCTCTAAGAACTAGCTCAGTTTCAAGTTGTTTGAAACTTTGGCGCCCTCGTCCACCTTAGCCAAAATTTTCTTCAAATAATGGTCATGTGACAAGTTTAAAGGATATTTTTCAAAAGCATTCTTTTGATCCAAATACCCTATAATCATAGTTTCCAAAATAAAAAAAATTAAAAGGAAAACCCTATAATCATACTTACCTGATTGTTAATCGAAATTGGATACGCTTGTTGTATGGAATGACGAGAAACCCTTGACAAATGACCCTTGTACTTGTCTGGTGACCTTTTTATAACGAAACAAATAGGCGGAAGTGTTGCATTTTCACACATGTAGTTTCATGTGGTTAATTGCAAAAGAAATAAATAACTAGTTAGATAAAAGTGGAAAAATGAACGTAACGAAATTAATGGGTAACGATTTTCATACTTTTAGTCGTATGTTCTTTTTTTTTTTTTTTTTTTTTGGAGCAAGGGTAACATACATTACCAACAACAAACAGTATAAACACTCCAACACAGAGGTCCAAAAATTACAACACAAAGGCCTAAGAATGAAAAACACAAACAGCCAACAGATGCCCAACCAAAAGTTGAGCCCAAAACAAAGAACACACAAAAACAACCAAAGTCGGTGCAACCTCCGCCAAAACCGCCGTTGCAACCACCAAAATAGTAGTCGTGCATGTAGATCCAGTCAAATTCAATCCCCACACAAAGCCACACCTCACCAACACCAGCAGCCAATTCCAAGCTTCACGCCCAGCACAACTACAGACCCCAGAGAACATGCAGCCAAGTGAAAGAAGCTCATGGCAGTCCACGAGCAACACTGCTAAGAAGGGCAGACAACAAAGAAAAGGTGGGGGTGCAAGGAACACCTGACCTAGTGCCAGCACCAAATCAAAGCACACCAACTCAAAACACCGCAACAAATCTCGGTAAAGGGTGATAGAAGTTGGGAAATTGGATGAAAATGGATGAGAGACAACAAAGGGGAGAGAATATGACAGATCGGCCAAAAGACCCAAGGAAGAAAACAGCGGATAGAAGAGGAGAAAGAGAGGGAGAAAGAAACAAAAGAAAACCCACTAATCCCAGCCGAAACTAGGATCGGCAACACCGGAAATGAACT